AGTAATGTAATAATTGAAAACCTTCAAAGTACAAAGGTGGCAGTAGCACAGTTCTCACAGGAAGCAAGATGTAACGGTGCATCGAACAATAAGCTTGCTGTACCTGCCCTAATGGAGCAGCTGTTGGCTTTACAGCAGCAGCAGATCCACCAGTTGCAACTGATTGAACAAATTCGTCACCAAATATTATTGTTGGCTTCCCAAAATACAGACATGCCAACGTCTTCTAGCCCTTCTCAAGGTACTTTACGAACATCTGCCAACCCCTTGTCCACATTAAGTTCCCATTTATCCCAGCAGCTGGCTGCAGCAGCTGGATTAGCACAAAGCCTTGCTAGTCAATCTGCCAGCATCAGTGGTGTGAAACAGCTACCCCCTATACAGCTACCTCAGAGCAACCCTGGCAACATTATAATTCCATCCAGTAGTGGCTCTTCTCCAAATATTAACATATTGGCAGCAGCAGTTACAACACCGTCCTCAGAAAAAGTGGCTTCAAGTATTGGTGGCTCACAGCTCAGCAACCCACCAGTATCCGCATCATCTTCACCAGCTTTTGCAATAAGCAGTTTATTAAGTCCTGCATCTAATCCACTTCTACCTCAGCCCACACCTAGTAACTCTGTTTTCTCCAGTCCCTTGTCCAATATTGGAACACCTGCAGAGGATTTAAACTCCTTGACTGCCTTGGCACAGCAAAGAAAAAGCAAGCCACCAAATGTAACTGCTTTTGAAGCAAAAAGTAATTCAGATGAGGCGTTCTTTAAGCATAAATGCAGGTTCTGTGCTAAAGTGTTTGGGAGTGACAGTGCCTTGCAGATTCATTTACGTTCTCACACTGGCGAGAGGCCATTTAAATGCAACATATGCGGAAACAGGTTCTCCACAAAGGGAAACTTAAAGGTCCACTTTCAGCGTCATAAAGAAAAGTACCCTCATATTCAAATGAATCCGTACCCGGTGCCAGAGCACTTGGACAATATTCCTACGAGCACGGGTATTCCTTACGGGATGTCTATACCGCCAGAGAAACCTGTCACAAGCTGGCTGGACAGCAAGCCAGTCCTCTCCACCCTGACGACGTCTGTTGGCCTGCCGCTCCCACCCACGATTCCAAGCTTGACCCCGTTCATCAAAACTGAGGAGCCTCAACCTATTCCCATTAGCCATCCTTCTGCTAGCCCTCCGTGCTCTGTCAAGAGTGACTCGGGAACAGCTGATCCCACATCAAAAATTTCCAATGGACTTTCTGATGAGGTAGAGGCTGGTGCTTTGCCTACCTCAAATGGTAAAATGGAAGAAAACCCTCAAAACACAAACTCCATCACTAACATGAGCAGCTCTGTGGGCTCACCGGCAGCAGACTCGGGCTCTGGCAGTGTTGCCACTTTTACAAATCCACTGATGCCTCTAATGTCAGAGCAATTTAAGGCAAAGTTTCCATTTGGAGGACTACTGGAGTCAACGCCAGCATCTGAAACATCAAAATTGCAGCAACTGGTAGAAAACATTGACAAAAAGGCAACCGATCCTAACGAGTGTATCATTTGCCATCGAGTTCTCAGCTGCCAGAGCGCACTGAAAATGCATTATCGCACACATACTGGTGAAAGGCCATTTAAATGTAAAATCTGTGGTCGCGCTTTCACTACTAAAGGCAACTTAAAGACTCATTATAGTGTCCACCGTGCCATGCCCCCGCTGAGAGTACAACACTCATGCCCAATCTGCCAGAAAAAATTCACCAACGCCGTTGTGCTTCAGCAGCATATCCGAATGCACATGGGAGGGCAGATTCCCAACACCCCTGTCACGGAAAACTATTCGGAGTCAATGGAATCAGATACGGGATCTTTTGATGAAAAGAATTTTGATGATATAGACAACTTCTCAGATGAGAACATGGAAGACTGTCCTGACAGCAGCGTGCCAGATACTCCTAAATCTGCAGATGCATCACAAGACAGCTTATCTTCTTCCCCGCTGCCCCTGGAAATGTCAAGTATTGCTGCTCTGGAAAATCAGATGAAGATGATCAATGCAGGACTTGCTGAACAACTTCAGGCAAGCTTAAAGTCAGTTGAAAATGGGTCAGTGGAAGGGGACGTTTTGACTAACGATTCGTCATCTGTTGGTGGTGATATGGAAAGCCAAAGTGCTGGAAGTCCTGCTGTCTCAGAGTCTACCTCTTCCATGCAGGCCTTGTCCCCATCTAACAGCGCTAATGATTACCACAAGTCACCAAGTATCGAAGAGAAACAAGTGAGAGCTTTACCAAGCGAGTTTGCCAACGGTTTGTCTCCAACCCCGGCTAACAGTGGTGCTTTGGACTTGACGTCTAGTAACACTGATAAAATTATTAAAGACGAGTCTTTGAGTTTGCTCTTTCCTTTCAGAGATAGAGGTAAATTTAAAAACACCGCGTGTGACATTTGTGGCAAAACATTTGCTTGTCAGAGTGCCTTGGACATTCATTACAGAAGTCATACCAAAGAGAGACCATTTATTTGCACAGTTTGCAATCGTGGCTTTTCCACAAAGGGTAATTTGAAGCAGCATATGTTGACACATCAAATGCGAGATCTACCATCACAACTTTTTGAGCCCAATTCCAGTATCGGCCCTAATCAGAACTCTTCGGTTATGCCTGTTAGTTCACTGTCATCGCTCATAAAGACTGAGGTTAACGGCTTTGTGCACAGCTCTCCTCAGGATAGCAAAGAAACACCTTCCGGTCTGGTTGCTTCAGGGCCGCTGCCCTCCTCTGCCACATCACCTGTCCTGCTCCCCGCTCTCCCCCGAAGAACCCCCAAACAGCACTACTGCAACACGTGCGGGAAAACATTTTCTTCCTCCAGTGCTCTGCAGATCCATGAAAGGACACACACTGGGGAGAAACCCTT